CCCAACCCAAAAAGAGAACTACAGGCCAATCTCCCTAATGAACATAGGTGCAAAAATCCTCAACAAGATACTGACAAACAGAATACAGAGGGTCATCAAGAATATCATACACCCTGACCAAGTCGGATTTATCACAGGGATGCAAAGATGGTCCAACACATGTAAATCAATAAATGTAATACACTGTATTAACAGAGGCCAGGACAAAAACCGTATGATCATCTCAATTGATGCAGGGAAAACATTCGACAAAATTCAACACCCATTCATAATAAAAACCCTGCAGAAAATTGGAATAAATGATCTTTATCTGAACTTGATTAAGGCTATATATGAAAAACCAATAGCCAACATCATACTAAATGGTCAAAAACTGAAAACCTTCATGCTAAAATCAGGAACAAGACAAGGATGTCCACTATCACCACTCCTATTCAATATAGTACCGGAAATATTAGCCACAACATTAGACAAGAGAAAGAAATAAAAGGAGTAAAAATAGGATGGGCCAGGGATTTAGCTCAGTGGTTCTGCCACCTGTCTTGCAAGTGCAAGGTCCTGAGTTCAATCCCTGGCACCAAAAAGAAAAAAAAAAGAAAAAGAAAAAGTAAAGATAGGAAAGGAAGAAGTTATACTATCATTATTTGCTGATGATATGATACTCTACATAGAAGACCCAAAAAACTCCGCCATAAGACTTCTAGACTTAATTGACAGATTCAGTAGAGTAGCTGGATACAAGGTCAAAACTCAAAAATCAATAACCTTCTTGTACACAAATAACAGACTCATTGAGAGAGAAATTAGGGAAACAATTCCTTTCACAATAGCATCCCAAAAAAATGAAATATCTGTGAATCAATCTAACGAAGGAAACAAAAGACCTCTACATTGAGAAGTACAGCACTCTGAAAAAAGAGATCGAAGAGGATATAAGAAAATGGAAAGACATGTCCTGTTCCTGGGGAGGAAGAACCTACATAGTGAAAATGGCCATATTTCCAAAACTGCTATACAGATTCAATCCAATCCTGATTGAAATCTCAACAGCATATTTCACATATCTAGAGAAAAAAATCCAAAAATTCATTTGGAACAAGAAGTGACCCAGAATAGCAAAAGCAATTCTAGGCAACAGTGACATGGAAGGGGTATTGCAATCCCCAACTTGAAACTATACTACAAACCCACTGTGATAAAAATAGAATGGTACTGGCAAAGAAACATACTCGAGGATCAGTGGAATAGATGAGAAAATGCAGAAACAACTCCAGACATACTCAGTCACCTCATCTTTGACAAAGGAGCCAACCATCCTCACTGGAGGAAAGATAGCCTCTTTAATAAATGGTGTTGGAAAAACTGAATTTCAACCTGCCAAAGATTAAAACTCAACTCATAACTATCACTGTGCACTAAACTAAAATTGAAGTAGATTAAAGATCTAAATATGAAAACAGAAACACTAAACTTTTTGGAAGATAAGTTAGGTAGAACTTTTGAAGACATTGGCACAGGAAAATACTTTATGAACAAACTTCAGTTGCCCATGAACTAGCATAAAGAATCAACAATTGGGATCTCATCTTATTAAAAAGCTTCTACACTGCAAGAGAAACCACCAACAGAGCTAAAAGACAACCTACAATGTGGGAAAAAAATATTTGGCAACAGTACCTCAGACAAAGGACTACTATGTAGAATATATAAAGAACTGAAAAAACTCAGACCCCCCAAATATAAAGACCTCGTTCAAAGATGGGCATCTGAAATGAACAGACATTTCTTAGACAAAGAAGTAGAACCAGTAAATAAGCATATGAAAAAATGTTCAACATCACTGGTCATTCGAGAGATGCA